TTGGCAAGTGTTGGCAAAGGAAAAGTCAGTAATTGCATCTATAGGTGCACAAAAAAATTACCCACTTAACACAATGGAAACGCTTCTTCACAGATGGATATTCTCATGTTCAAACAAGTCACATAAAAATTACTTTTTACTTCCTCTTTGCAATGCCTATATATCCAAAATTAAGAAAACTTGTATTTTTAATTGGAGAACAGAAAGTTACTGACACTTCAGGCATCCTAATAAAAATAAACATCATGTTCACTTATTTATTTTAACAAACAGCAACACTACTCTGAGATATCGTTGGTGCTATTTATACTAGCGGGTACCTCATTATAATGTTTATTTCCTCTTCTCCCCTGAGGCTGGACAAGGCCCCAATTGGTGTGAAGGGCTGCAAAGCCAAGAGAGGCACCAATGTGATAGAAGCAGAAACCCTGCCCCCTTGACAGGCATCGTGATCAAGAGCAGAGCACCCAAAATAATATATTCTCCCCAGAAAAGAAGTCCAGGTTCTTCTTATCTCTTCTGAAATCCCCAAAGAGAAAAGGTTTTGAGAAAAAACAAACACCCCCAAAAAACAAACAAAAACAAATGAGAAAAAAAAGAAAAATGTAGCAAAATAAAGATAAAATGCTTTACTGAAGGGTAGCTGGTGTGAGCACTTCACCTCTTAAAGAATGTGGTCTGAGAACTAAAGACATTTGCAAAGCAATTGCTTTTAAAATTGTCCATGGGATTTCATAGACAATGAGGTGGCTGTGAGGAGTTAAACTGCTGAACACGTCTAATAATGCAACAAAAATGCCCAACGCTGTCTTACCAGAGCAAAATATGGCAGAATCTATTTTATTTGCAGAAGTGAAAATTTCCAAGCAGCTGAAACTGAGTGAGCAGACAGCAGAAGGCACAGCTGAGACAACACAAAATAGAGTCATCCAGGACTGTTTAGGATTTTGTGACTCAATGCTGGTAGCAGGAAATGGAGAACAAAGCAAGGCCATCATACACATAATTCTCTCATTTGTGGGAGATTACTGTGTTCCATCAGTCAAACAGGAATTATTGCTGCATGAGTTGGAGACTCAGTTGGTAATGCATTAGATGAATCTTGGCAAGTAAAACTGTTGGGCCTTCAAACTGGAAAAGTCTTTAATTTCTAAAAAACTCCTCTGTTCTGCTTCCTTTTGTTTTTCTTCTGGCTAAACAGGATGGCAATGTCATTACCTCACAGAACATGGTTTGTATCAGGTGTTCTGTATATATCCCATTTTTCTGTAAAAAACACCCACAAACTTCATTTACAGAAAGCATAAAACCATCCTCCTGAAGAGATACAATAGCACACAATGCTCTTGGTCAAGTAATTATCAGTTCTCTACCCACAGCCACAAAGCTCTCTTGTGAGGAATATTGGGAGAAGTGCAAGGGTCAATATCTCTGTAAACAGCCTGGTAATGGTGCAAAAACCACACAAAACATCTTGGTCTTCAGCCACTTCAACTATTTTTAATCTTTGTACTGTAAACTAAATTTTCCCCCTTACTCTGACACATGGCATCACAAGACTCTACAAGCAAAGGGGCAAGTTCTAGAGAGACACCATAACGTGGTTACTCAAAAAGCAGTAATTCTAAATTGGCAAGTTTTATTCAACCTATACTGTTTGCTATCCTAGATTTGAATGTCTAAATTTACTGTTCTAAATGTTGTCAAATCACTAATATCCTCTTGCAAGTCATCTTAATTTCCAACATAGCAATTTTCCCTGTAATGATTCTTCATTTAAGACTACATGTTTACAATTTTCTACCATTTAGGTGATTTAAGTATATCATCTACTGAATGTCCTGGTCTTGGCAGCAGTGAATAATTTTCTTGACAGATGGAATATGAAAAAAATACTGAATAAAACATTTTCCCAAAACATAAATAGCTGGCAGTTATCCCTCAGAAATAAAAGTCCTTCTTAACCTAAAAGCAACCAGCATGTCATGTTCCTTGTAAAAACAAGGTCAAGAATTTAGTTATGCCTTTAACTAATGCCCTATTGCAGTGGAGAAGGCAGGCTATGAGGACAACATACCAGCCATTTAGATGCCTCCATCCATTATCAGCTATTTATTATTAGCCATTTCTCTTTTTTCTCCCCTCTTTCTGCAGCAGCATAATCCAGGTGCTCACAAAACTGCCCCTTAGTCCTTCCAGAAATTTACCTTCCCAACATCACATCTAACCAGATGTGACATGCACACCATGTATGGGCTCTGCTCACAGAAACAAAGAGAACAATGTTAAGGGATCACTGCTTGCTGTATGAAATAGAAATTAAATGTAGGGATGCAAAAGAAAGGGATGGTTACATTTACACTGATGAAATCACTTGCTATTCAATGGATTTGGTTACAGCAATCAAGGTAAATGCAACCAAATTCACAGCAACATTTATACATGTGTGTATGTTATGATGTTTATAAATAGATGGATGGGGAGGTGAAAAATTTCAGACTGATACTTAAAGGAATCTCAGTTCAGAAAAATAAATCCCACACTAAGAATATGTGACTGCAAGTATAAGCTAAAGTAAATTAATGCAGCAACAACAGTAGATTTTCAGAATAAATAGTGTATAGGGGGTTTTAGATATATGAGAAATACAACTAAGCAGGCCTTTTTAAGATTTGGAAATTACTAATCAGCAAGAATTAAATATCTCAGTAATATGGACATTTGCAATAACAATAAATCTCAGTTGAATTTAGATGAAATAGATAAAGCTCCTTAAAGCTATAAAATTAAAATCTTAATATTAGAATGAGATTGCCACATGATCCAGGGAAGGCAAAAGCAGAATATGGTCAGTCACATAACCCTGGTGTATTTCCTCTGGTGCATCTTCCCCATCCAGCCCAGGGGGTTTGAGCCACAGAGCCTTTCTGAGCCCTGCTGGGCTGAGTCTGAGGAGCAGGAATCAATTCTACATCTCACAAGACTTGTCTGGGGCCCATTAACAATTAGGACCTGTAAGAAGGGGTTTTCTTTCATGTCATCTGTCAGGTACCTGCTATGTTCCACAGTCCCCATCCCAGAAAAACAAGAACCAGCAGTGCCTTCACCCCTGTGCTGCCCAAGGACAGAGCTGCTACAGCAGTGAAGGCAAGTGCAGTCCCCAAGGGCTGTCCCCAGTTGTCATCCCCAGCCTCGGGTGACACTCACCCTGCCCCTGACCCCAGGCACAACTCACAACCAGCATTCATCCTGTGCCAGCTCACAGGGCAAAGAAAACTCTGGAAATACACTGAGTCTTAAAAGAGATGTAAGAACTGATAATCTCAAATATGAGACTGCTAGGTATACCAGAATACCAGAAAATTATCTCCTAAAGTGAAATTATTTTACCTAGGAAACAAAAACCTTTAACTCTGGGCCGTGCACCAGCACTACAATACAAAAAAAAAGTCCCATTTTAGAATTATTCCAAAACCATTTTGGATAACATATTGGGATTGCAAGTATTGAAGAAAATAACTCTGGGAAATAAAGGCTCAAATCATTAATAATGATTCTACTAATTACATTAAACAGCTTTAAGGGAAAAATAGATACCATTTCACTTTACTGCATCTCATAAGAGACAGTAAAACTGCTTTGCTTTTTATGCTGAATGAAAAAGAAGGAAAGGTTTCACCCAAAACAATCAAGCAGTATCAACATCAGTTCAGCTCCAAGAAAAGAAACAAACAAAACCCTCAAAACCTTAAACAAAGTATATTTCATGAGAGGTTTTGAGGGTTATGAGAAACAAATGAGCATCAAAAGAAACTCCCAGAAAACAAAATTTTCTCTTACTTGATTCTTCTATGGACAATTTTTTGTGAGCTCTACTTAGTGTTTACCAACCTTTTAAAAAAACAGAAATTATTACAGATGCTTAAGCACTCAGAATAAAAAATGGCACAAATAGCAAAAAAATGTTAGCATTATTGAAGACATAAAATTTGATATTTATTTCTAATTTATTCTAGAAGAAAATAATAAAGATTATGATTTCAGAATCCTAAATTGAAAATGACACCAAAACCATTGTGATGCTGCCTCTCACTCCATTAATATAAATATACGTCATGTAGCTGGTTTATACTTCACTTTAAACTACAGCTGCATTTCAAGGAACCAAGTATCTGTTGGTTCACTGAAAAATCACAAAAACTCTAGACCTGCTCACAGCCACAGTGCCAGAGCCTGAACTGCTCCCACAGAAAACACAACTGGACACAACAAACTTTGGTCAATACCATCCCCAGCTCTGCAGCATTTCCTGCTCTTGACCCAGGCAATGCTTTCCTGCTGTTTTGTTCCCACCCACACAGCACTGGCAGTCACCTTTCTCAGTTCTATTTTTAAATCCATTTCTCAGCAATAATTTATCCTGCTGACATCACTAAGCAGACAATTTCCCAAGTTTTCAGAGCTTCTCAAGAGTGAAGCCCTTTTGTTGATTTCTCCAGTCACCCCTCTCCATACAGTCATACAGAACAACAACAGACCATAAAACATTACAAGTCATACCTCATCTCAGTGAAAATCATATTTAAAGCATATCAGTTAAACTACCAGTTCAGCTGTCATATACAGTTTCTGTTTTCTCCTCTAATCCTCATTTTGTATTTCATATTTCAATTCCTTTGAAGCAGCAGTTCTAAACTAGGCTTTTAATCCAGAATGAGTATTTCAAATAATATTTACAGTCTTATTTGTTCTTAATACACGTCTCTGAACTGTACTAAAAATGGCAGTTTATCTCAAAAATTTCTATAAAAAAAAATCTTTAGATTTTGAATACAAGCTTAGAATACTTTTTTTTTCTGGACTATCATCAGTTATACAGAACACAGAAATAAAAACCATTAAAAAACAAACAAAAAAAAAGCAAGGAAAGGTTTTTATTTTTAGTTTTTCATCATGGTTTTAAATTAAGAGGCAGAAGAGTTAGGAATATTCATACTGACCTGAGCCCATAAAGGACTGTTCCATCCGGATGCAGACGAATCATTCTGTTCTTCACAGTAACACCATGGACAAATGACTTCTTGTCATTCAGGAAATAGGTATCAGGCACCCAGAGCTGATCAGCTACTCTGTTGTCCAGGGTAAGGTTTAGAGGTATTACATTATAGGACAGCCTCTTATCCCTCCATGCTTGCTGGAAGTACATGGTCAAGGTATAGTCCTGTGAGCAGAAAAAACAAACAAAAAACCAAAAAAGGTTTGCATTGAAAGATACATCTGCAAAAAAATGACAATGTAAATACACATGTGTTCACTCGAGCTGTTCCTAAAGGCAAACATTTCTGTTCAGAACTTTTATTAGTAGATTTATTTATTTTTACGGTACTGAGCAACTTGTATGTGCTTATAACAGCAGGGAGAACACAAAGATGGGGCACTTAAATTTCTTGAATAGCTTGGAAGTTCTCACTTCAATATTTAAAAATAAAATTTTAAAAATTGTAGACATTTAACAGCCTGTAGCACTTCACAAGTTCTACAAATTAGGAACATTCACAGATCCAAATTTAATTTCAGGGTCTCCACTGTATCCAATAGAGCTCTGGATCAAGCCTTCAGTCTCTGAAGTTGCAGTCACCACCCAAAGACTTCCCTAAATTAAAATTTCTTCCAAGTCTGTTAACTTTTCCCTGGGCACTGAAACCAATGGGAATTTTTTTAAGGTTCCTAAGCTATATACTTAGCCTTAATTTTACAGATGAAGTAACTCTGGTTACTTCAGGGGGACAATTCAGAGAGCACAATTAGCATCTCAGTAATTACTCATGGTATTATGAGACTTGTATTTGATGCAGACCACCATTGTACAGTGCTTCAGAGATGTTTTGACCTCTTGGTTTTTTAAAGAACGTATTTACAAAGGTTATACCTTTGTCAAAATTGATATCCAGATGCAGAATAATCATTATATTTAGCCAATGCTAAAAAACCCTCTACAAATAGTACAAAAAAATCTATTGAGAGCAACCCTGTGGAGAAATACTCACATAAATGGCAATATTAGTTCTTATTCCCTGCTTTACATTGTAAAGGAGAGTCCACTATTTAAAGCATTTTTTATTACAGTTTGAAAAGAAAAATTTATCCTCCTGCTGAACTACTTTAAAAGCATATCCCACAAGTGTATTTTACATGCACTCTCATTTAAAAGGATATTTGACATGTGAACACTATACAGAACATCTCAGATAACACAAAAATAAATTTTTCTTATTCTGCAGTTTCCCAGACTGAACATCCCAGTAGGAAATCACTGAAATTGGGTTGCTGTAATTATTCTCTTTACAATGTACAATACCCACCCTTGAACTAGAGAGGGTCTGTGAGAACTGTGGTTATTTCAGCAGAATTCCGTAAGCAACGACACAGAACCCTGAAACTAAGTGACCCTGCCTCTTCTGCAGAACAGTGTGCACTCAGAAGAATCAGTATAAACCATTTTTTTATAGAAATATGCATTTCAGTGGAGGAAAGATTTCTTTTTTTTTTATTTTTGCCTCATCCCTCTCCATGGGCTTGAAAATGCCTCTTCAATTTTCAGCGAAGCAGAGGGAAATAGACGTTCTGTTGTGAGCAGTTACTGCGTTTCCCCCTGCCCAGCACAAAGCACAGATGGTGTTGCTGTCCCTGCACTGGCTCCAGGGCAATCCCTGCCCTCGCTGCACCCCTGGCCATGCCTGGAGCCCCAGCACCTCTGGCCAGGAGCCACCACAGCCACTCTGCAGGGGCTCAAGCAGGCACACACCAAATGAGCCTTCCCAGGTGTTTAAATACCAAATATATTCACCTGGTGCCGTTCTACAACCTGATCAGTTTTAACAATCTGAAATCTCTTCCCACCTCCCCTGGGTCAGGATGAGATGAGCTTGCAAGAGCGTTCCACCTACGTCTGAAGAATTTTACTGTTATGCTTCATCACTGTTCTGCAGGATTTGATTCATAACCAGCTACCAGAAAATCTCCAGTAGGATAATTTATTAGTCTTTATTGTACTAATATATCACATCATCAAGTAATGATCTATAGCAATTGATTCTCTATTATCCTTGGAATGCTGCATTTCATTCCTACTCCAAGGAATAACCTACATGTATTAATATTCTGCATAAATGCATAGAACATGCTTTCCTTTTTACACCTCAGTAAAAGAGGAAAAGAAGAGGAGGAAAAACCCTAAACATACATGGTTCACTGCATAGAAGTGAATTACATAAAACTGTAAATTTGGAGCACTGGCAGAGCTGAAAGAAAAGCCAAGTCACCAGGCTGGAGTTTAAAATCAAACACACTGTGTTCCAGAAAGAGCTGGTGTTCTGACTAAAAATTATTTGTCATCTGTTGGCCCTAGTTTTCAGACGTGACTGGAGTTTCTAATGGTCAAAATAGAACTCCTTTGAAATTGTTATAAAATTCTCACAAGCTTTTGAATTTAGGTTTTTATTTTTAATGATAATTTTAAAAAACCCCAAAGATGTTCCAAGCTACATATTTCAAAGTGAAATTGATAAGACAGGAAAAAAGCAAAACCTGTCACGTAAACTGTGATCTATTCCTTAGAAAGGAGAGAGGCATCTGTTTGCAAAATCCCAAATGAAAGAGTCATTCAAAAAAGTTGTGCTGGTACAAAATGTCCCTAAAGTATCCCAAGATCCTTTACATGTTGACATTAAGAACACTCATCTAATAGGAAGACTACAAGAACAAAGTCTGTTAAATTCACATTAAATATGGGCATTCCCCTCTATTCTAGGGATAAATAGCAAAATAAACACGTAAATATCTTGTTTCTAGGAAAAGAGACACAGAAAGAAGTAGAGGAATAGAACTAAAGGATGATTTTAATTTTGTTAAGGTTTAGCATCCTTTTAAATTCACAGGATGGGATTGTTAGAACCAGTGTAAGTTTGACGAGGAAACAGGAGCAAATTCATTTTCAGAGCTTTGCACAAGGGACTAATTCTGCTGAGCTGAATTAAAGCCAAGCCCAAAGCTGCTGCTGCTGGGGTCAGTGCAAACCATTGCACAGACACAAACTACAGAGGCACTGGCTGTTTGCAGCCACACAGACGCATTTCTACCATAGAAATAAAGACGTTCCTCAGTTGCCCTGGATATGAAAAGCTGTATAAAACTGTATTAGTGTTGACGAAGCTGCAAGAAAAACCTAGAACATAAAGAAGCAAACACATTTTCTGTAAATATTATCAATTTTGTAAGTTTCATTATTTTTAATTATTTCATTACTATTCCATTGTTTCCCTAGATCTAAATCTAATAAAGTTTTTTGTTCTGTCCAGAGCAAAAATTGAGGCATCAGAAAATGGATCATTACCCCTATTCTATTGTTATCAAAGAAAAGGTGTCTTTTCCTCACCTCACCTTCCCACTTTCCTGCTTCTTTATTTCATACAATGAACAAAAGAGCAGTAAATATAAGACAAAGTTAATGTTTATGCATAATTTTCCCTATGAATAAAAAACTATCAAACAGTTTCATTAGTATTAGCATATTAATGAGTTACTTTTATTCTGCAGTGGTTGCCTTCAAACATTTTAGCTGCTGGAAGTTTAAACACATTGAGGATTTAAACTTTTATTTAGATAAATACAAGTATTACAGACAGACATGGTGTCAGTGAATGGCCATCAATTTCAATTATGTAACAGAAGATACTGGATAGGAAAGCATCACATCTGAATACTGGCATTCTTATTTATGTTCTGACATTTCATTCATGCTCTCAAATAAATGTTTCAGCAAAAAAAAAAAGAAAAATCAGTTTGGGCCTATTATTAGTTTCAAAAGATTAGAACACAGGCCTTGGCTAAACCTACCCATGGGCCAATAACTGACATATTGCTGATCCTCTTTTTTATATTGGAAGAAGGATCAAGGCAAAAAAGGAAATAGAGGTCATGAATATTCACAATGACAGTGGGTGTCTAATGCAAAAGATTCTACCAGATGTAAATTTTTTCAAAGCATAATAATAAGGTCCAATGTGAGAAAACACATTTAAAATATAGCTCCTTCTTCTGCATTACACAAATCAGGACTGATTCACACTGCAGCTTAAAACTCTAACCAACACTTGTATTAACAGGGCTAGAAAACAGCTACTGAAACACTGGAAGCAATAAAGACAAGAAACTTCAGAGGAAAAAAAATGCAAAAGAAATATACAATATTTAATGTATATAATATATATTCTGTGTATTGTAAACATAGTGTAAGACAGTGAAGTTGAAGATGCTGTTAATCATTGCTCTGCAGTAATGAACAGAGAACTCATTTGTGGTTTGGCTTAAGTCCATTCCTCATCACATTCCTGGTTATTACTAACTTATAAAAACATTTTACTACATTTCCACATATGGCCATTTTAAAACAAAATAATTCCCTTCTGAAGAAGCTTGAAGCTGAAGATTTTGCCTGAGCACTATATTTATTTAACATGTACATTTAAAAAACTGTTGACAACATTTAAAAGTGCTAATTGACAATCTTTTCAACCGTCTTTTTAAATAAAACCAACCACTACAATGTTTGATTCAAAATTGTCCATTTCAGTCTCTGATTGAGAAAACATAATGTAAAAATTATGCTTAATGCTGGAGACACCACAAAGTGACTTATAAAAGTAGAAAGAATGGTTGAAGGAATGTATGATACCAAAGAAACGCCAAAATAGTCATATGCCCTTAAGAAAAAAATATTTTTCACACTCTGTAAATCTTTCCTTTAAAATTAAAAAAAATTCCTCAAAAGATATAAAAAAGCCACAAACAATGACATCAGGAACCTTACACAGAATTCAAGTTGAATTCTCTCAGTCTATGAAATCCAACTTCCCAAGCTGGCTTTAAATCTGTGAAACACTTGTATTTAACTGAGTCTCCTAAAACTTACTAGGGGAGTTTTCCTTGATGGGAATTACATCTTCACAAGTTTACGATATTTCCAAAAAGAAGCTCCCAACACCAAGCTTACCATTTATTTTGCTGCAACTGTCCTGGAATTATTCAATAGCAATTCTCATTTGTCAGCTGAATAAAGCAGCCAAGATGGGCTGTTTATCTCCCACCACAGCTCTCAGAAAAACAGTGTTACAGAATCAAGCAAGAGGCTTGGGTCTGAAAGCCAAATGGGTGTCAGCAGAG